AAAGAATAACCTCGATAACTTATGTGGTCACTGAGATATGGCGATGTGAAGCTAAAAAAACGCGAATTTTTGAAACTCTATTTTTTCTTGTTTTTTGTAAATAAAAAATGTCATGACCACAGCAAAATGACGTGAATGGCCATTTCCGATGAGGAATTATAACACCTACAAAACGTAGTACGGCTCATGTAGTTATACCTCAAAAAAATTTTTGGTACATTTTTTTGTCCGATCTCGCTCCACTATACGGCAATTTTAACTGAATACGGGCCGCCCGTCGATGTTGAAATCTTATACGCGATATCTGCTTTTTCAGTTGTGTTTGCATGAGAGCTGTAAACGTCGCTAGCGTACAGGTTCGTTACTTTTGACGAGAGGGGAGAAACGAGGAGGAAGCGTACGCTCACGATTTCACATTGCGGTTGTCTATCTTCCTCGTTATATGTTAATCAATGGTGACAGTGAATCATTAAAGATTGTAGGCCAATTTGTTATAATATTTCAACAAGGCAAAATAAGAGGTACGTATGTTCTGTTTATGATTTAGCTACCTAACTAAGTGCTTTTTTAATGTAAAAATAGTTAGTATGTGAAACCAATTTATGGTTTAGTGTTACCTACCATGTTAATGTCGGAAAGAATTTTTCAAATGAAACGCATTGTTTGGGGTTATAGCGGCCGACGTGTGAGGGCTATACCGGCCAGTTGACCGTAAATACCCCAACTGCGCGTAACATACATGTTATGTTAATCTGTTTATCGCTTTAAGCTTTGTAACGCACCGGTGTAACGCACCGGTTACTATTAGGACCCGTGTGGCGAGTTGTATATAGTATTTTTTAAGTTAAATAGGTATAAGTAAAATAGTTAGATTAAATTTGTGGACACCCTGCTTTGTAAAATACGCCTCCGCATGTAAGGGCCCATGGACTTTCTGCCACATGTGCAACCGATTGGGTTTCCGGGCCATTGTGAATTATTACGGTCAACGGTGATACCATGTGTGGCGGCAAGATCCAAGGTGTGGTAATTTTTCCCTTGGTGAACCAGGAGGAAACGGAAGGAGTTCGCTAGTAGCCGTCTTCGGCAGCGCACGTTAAAAAACCGCGGCAGAATCCAGCGGTCTCTGGTTAATTGGCGAGAGTGCGTGATTTTGGCGACGTTTCGTTTTTTGCCTGCCGCGAATTAAAGTGCACGTGTTGTGTCATCGAAACGTGTGGTTTTGCGACACTGCGGGGGAAGGCATCATCGTCAGCTGAACTCCGAAGAAACTGCGATACACGGCGCCGGCATCAGAAAGGTAGGCCTACCTATTTTGTAAATCTCTCAACGGGTCGTGAGTGATTGCGTTCTGACATTGCGGCGGTAGACAGTTCTTGCGTCTGTTATTCGAGCATCCACAATTAAAGTGTAATTATTGTAGCGTTAGGTTAATATAAGTGTTAGTCGAATTAGAGTTGTTCTTTAGTATTACCCATTAGCCCACTGGTCCTGAGAAAGAGGGATATCCGCTCATGCAGAGCTAGTACTCCGGTGCATTACGGTAGGTACTTTACCACCCAAATAATTAGGGTCAGTTAAAAAAGCGACACACCAATTCAGGGTGTTGCAGCTTTTGCTAATAAAATTTGCTTTTATAGATGCCACGCCACGAAAGCGAATCAGGTTCACTGAGCGGGCGAATTGGGACCAGCAAAATATAAAAAAAGCCATTGAACTAATAAACAGCAGTGTGTCAATCAGAGAAGCTGCTAGAAGAACTGGCGTTCCATACTCTACTTTACAGGAAAGGCTAAAAAAAATGAGACTTCTGATCCCTCTCTTGGAAGAAAGCCTATTTTTACAATAGAACAAGAGAAAGAAAGAGTAATATTTTCTACGGTTGTACGGCAATGGATGTACGAAAAATGGCTTTCGAGTACGCAACTAGGAATAATGTAAAGAACAACTTCAACAAATTGATGAAAACGGCAGGTAGAGATTGGCTTGAAGGATTTTTAAAGCGTAATGGTTTATCTATTCGTAAAGCGGAAGGCACAAGTATGAACAGGGCTACAGCGTTTAACAAACAAGAAGTCGATCATTTTTACAAACTCTTAGGAGAGCTAATAGAAAAGTACCATTTTTTGCCCAAGAACATTTATATAATGCCGATGAGAGTGGTTTTACAACCGTTCAAGAACCCGGTAAGGTTTTAGCAGCAAAAGGTCAACGACGTGATGGTTCTATAACAAGTTGGGAACGGGGCAGAAACATTACTGCTCTTTGTGCCATGAGCGCTACAAGTGGATTTATTCCACCAATGATGATATATCCTCGTTTAAGGCACTCTCCTGCATTAGAAAAGGATGGACCAGTGGGCGCGCTATATAAATGTTCCAAAAATGGATTGATTACTGAAGAGCTATTTGTTAGCTGGCTTAGTCATTTTTGCGAACACAGTAAACCGTCTGAAAATGAAAAAGTGCTCCTGATTCTTGACAACCACTCCAGCCACATAAGTCTAGCTGGTTACGAATATTGCAAAAAAAAAACAACATCGTCATGCTTTCCATTCCGCGCCATAGTTCCCATCGCATTCAACCGCTAGACGTGTCATTTTTTGGTCCCATGAAGGCTTCATATAGACAGGAGTGCAATTACTTTATGAAATCTAATTTAGGACAAAAAATTACACCTGCAGAAGTGGCGTCTTTATTTCGAAAAGCTTTTGTCAAAGTAGCATCAATCAGTAAGGCGGAGGCGGGCTTTAAAGCTACGGGAATTTTCCCATACAATCCACAGGTGTTCGATGAGACAGACTTTCTTCTATATGCAGCTCTTAATGAAAGTGAGTTGGTTATTGAAAATGATGAGGCTGGACCCACATCATCATTTACAGAACCAGTCCATCGAACACCAGAGAAATCTGCCATTACTACATCTGAACAACCTTTTGTTTTTGGTTTGGAAGTTGCCTCCACGTCAAGCTGTATTAATCCATCTACATCTAACAACTCAGACGTAGTGGATAACAAAGTGTTGTCAAGAAAAGGGGCTACAGTTCAAGATTTACTTCCCATACCTACAAAGGTGCAAAAGACAACTAGAAAAGGAAGGGAAAAGCAACACGCAAAAATTTTGACATCAACTCCGTTTAAAAAAGATCTCACAGAAAAGGAGAATAAAAAGATCATGAAATCACGATCGAAAGCAAAATCGCAGAATGAAAAATCAATATCAACTAAGCATCCTGCACCAAAGTTTAAGCGAAAAATACTGCACACTAAAAACGACTCTTCTTCCGAATCTGAGGCGGATGTAGATCCAAAAGTCTTATGCGACGACGATGAGGACGATGATATGGAAAACGATGATACCAAATGTGTAATTTGCGATGATTACGGGCGAGATCGGGAAATGTGGTACCGATGTACGGTGTGTGCTTATTGGGCACACGCCGATTGTTCTGGCTGGGACGCTCCAGATGGATATATTTGTGACTTATGCCAAAAATATAAGTGACCAACATTACCCCAACCTATGACCGTTGTAACCCGCACCTCAGGACAATGATGGTCAAAGAGACTTTTTATGTTTATATTGTTTACTTTTTTTTTGTAATGCGTAGAAGTGCCAATTATGTTCCTATTATATCTACTACTAATTAACGTAAGTGTTATATAAAAAACGGTGCAAATATAAATAAAACAAAAAATTTGTTGTCACATTTTTGTTAAGTGGTCGGCATTTCCCCAATTTCCCCTAAACGTCATGTTTAAACGCTACTGACTTGTAAAACTGACAACAGACCTGTAAAAATTTTACAAGTTAGTAATCTAGTAATTTCATTGGCCAGAATTAATGCGAAGTCTCTGTTACACGGATAACATGATATTTTAGACATTTCTTCAAGATCAATTTAAGAACTAATTATTTACGTTTACTATTGTTTACAAATGAGTAACAAATAAAATATTATAATTTATACGCCAGGTAATAGTTTTTACTGGCTCTAGGAGATGACAAGCTCGCCTAACGGCTCGCTAGTCAACTGCTCCTATCTCCAGTAAAAACTCACTTACCTGGCTAATAATGTAAAATACTATTTGTACCGTTATTAGGTAAGTTTTATGTTAGTTATAGAATTTATCGTGTAATAGTTTGCTGTGTTTACTTTTTACATAAAATATGTTCTAATTTTTCCACTATTACCTTAATTCAATTGAATAAAACGTGTTCAGTTCTGTTATGTTGGTACCAATAGGCGAATGCGGCCCAATACATGTCACCGCAGCAAACGGCTTACCCGGATTGTTTTGGAGCGTATGTACTTAAAATATAATGTAATCCTAATACTATTTTATGTACAGTGTTTTAGTAACGTAATAAAATAAATTCAATATAAGGAACCCGTGCATTACTCGCATACACAACAAAATTGGCGACGAGGATGGGATGAGGTTAGGAAATCACGTGGGAAAATGGAATATACGCCGACACGCCCGAAGTCCTAACAATTCGCAGGAATTACACAAATCACTGGTCTTACACTGGTTGGATACCTAATTACATCTACAAATACGGAAAATTCACGCTGGTAATCGTTCAATATTTACATTGACTACATACGAACCCGATTTCAGATATATCCTTAAATCGACTTAATTACGAGTTTACGTGCTTACATACGAAATGACGGAACCCCTTCTGCAATCCATGACCGAGATTTTGACAAAAATTCAGGAAACGCAAGCTCAAATGGTTACCTTAGGCCGAACCAATTCGACTACAATTTCGGTGAAGGAAAACTTGCACCCTTATGACGAAAATCACGAGACGTTCGACTGCTATTTACAAAGGCTCGATAACCACCTACAACTTAAGAAGATCGATGATTCAACCGCCGAAAGAGATAAAACCTGCGTACAAATATTGATCAGCTGTCTTAGTCCGAAGATTTACCAGACATTACAAAGCTTACGGCACCAAATTCTAAAAGTTACAAGGAACTCATTAAAATGCTAAAAGAGCATTTAGCCCCACAAGCGAGCATTATAGCCGAACAGCACAAATTTTCATTACGTACACAACATGAGGGGGAAACAATTGCTAATTACGTGGCCGAATTACGGAAAATGACTACAAATTGCAACTTTAAATGTGAAAACTGTAGTAAATCGACTATCAATACGCATTTACGCACTCAATTCATACGAGGAATTCGCGATAGTGAGATACGAGAGAGATTACTGCAGCAGAAGTCAACAGCCACATTCGAGGAGATAGTACAGATCGCAAATTCGTTGGAAATGTCGAAGAAAGAAGCAAGTGAGATGCAGAGAACTGAGTTGGAGGTACATGCATCCGAGTAAAAAGTACACTCCTGGAACCCATACAAGCTTTACGCCCGGGATAAATTCTGGTAAGATTCAGGGATTATGGGGAAAATGTTTTCGATGTGGTAAAACCGACCACAAGGCTGATAAATGTTACGCAAAAAAATTTATCTGCAAAAAGTGTGGGAAAACAGGCCACTTACAGGCTGTTTGTCTCAAATCGATTGGTAAACCCCAGGACCATAAACAGATCGAGAATTCAGACTACAATTCTGATTACGATCAGGAACCATTTAACATTTACAAAATCGTTACGATAAATTCAATTAATACGAAGAAAATCATGTTACCAGTAAAATTAAATGGCTCAGGCTGTCAAATGGAATTGGATACGGGGGCAGCTGTGTCCACAATTTCCGAAGCTAAATTCAAGACAATTTGCCCCAATGCAAAAATGAATCCTACGTCAGTAAAATTACGAACGTATTCGGGGGAGATATTACACCCAATTGGGTCTTCTGAAATGAGAGTACAGTACGGAAATCAATCTACGCGCGCGAATATCTACATTCTACCTCTCGATGTTGATACGATATTTGGGCGTGACTGGTTAACTGCGATCAAAATCGACTGGAAGGATATTCGGAAAATCGAAATGGCCGGAAACCCACCAGAACGTCAAGTTTTACTCGATGAATTCAAGGACGTCGTTACACCTAAATTGGGAAAAGTCCCTAATTACGAATACTCTATCAAGTTATCGGATCCTGATACACAGCCTATTTTTACGAAACCTCGTTTAGTTCCTTACGCACTAAAAGGCAAGGTCGAAGAAGAATTGGACCGATTGGAAAAATTGGAAATTATTGAAAAAGTAGTACATTCCACTTGGGGTACACTCATAGTTCCAATCGTGAAAAAGGACGGCACCATACGTATCTGCGCCGATTTTAAGGGAACTATAAACAAGATAATTAAGACGGGTCGCTATCCAATACCGAAAATTGAAGATATTTTCAACAAAATGAGAGGGGGAAAATACCTCTGTTGTCTTGACATACACCAAGCTTATTTACATATGTCAGTAGATGAGGAAACGTCCATGTTACAAGCAATCAGTACTCAAAAAGGAGTTTACAAGGTAAAACGCCTGATGTTTGGCGTTAAGACAGCTCCAAATGCGTGGCAAAGATTTATGGACCAAACTCTTCAAGATTTGGACGGAGTAGTCTGTTTTTTCGACGATATCGCAATACAGGGAAGAACACCCGAAGAGTTATTGACAAGATTGCGACAAGTTTTAGAGCGTTTACGCCAATTCGACTTACATCTCAATGGAAGGAAGTGTCAATTTTTTAAATCAAGTATTTCATATTTAGGCCATAGAATCGACGGTGATGGTCTACACACAACTACCGAGAAGACTGAAGCTATTGCTAATAGTCCACGTCCGGGAAACGTTTCGCAGTTACGCACCTTTTTAGGGTTAATAATAATAATAATAATAATAATAATAATCTTTTATTTTTTTAGGACCCTACATAACTTCACCAGACACAGACACAGACACTAATCGTTACTTGATTTTAATCCGTGCGATTAGTTAACCAGGCTAGACCTGAGTTCTCACAAGATACACCGACCATAATAATAATAATAATAATAATACTTTATTATCCTGGCGGAGACCAGCTGTAAGCTGTTTTTCCCAACCAGCAGAATTACAATTTACAATTACAAAATAGTGATTGAAAATAACATAAACTAAAAAAGGTATACTATTTCAATAACTTGAGTTGTACGAGACTACATGAAAAGAAAATAAATGAAATCTTAGACGAAGACAGATTGACAAAAATGACAAAGTTTCTCCACGTGTGTACATAATATCTAAAAGAAGTATATAGAAGGTAACATATTGAAAGATTAGGTAACAGAAACTTGCTATACTTAAAGGTCTAATTATTATTCATTGTAAATCATAATTTTTACTTTGCGCTTAAATTGATAGCTATTCAATGATTTGTATTCATCAGGCAGCTTATTGTACAAAAATGCTGACATGTATGTAAACGAAGATTTGTAGCTTTGCAATCGATGTGCAGGTATTTGAATATCGTTTGTATTTCTAAGTTGACGATCATGTAAATCTCTCCGAAAACGTATTGTGGACTGTAAGTATGGGGGCACGCCAGATTTTATAATTTTGTGAATTAAACACAAATAGTGTATAGTCCTCCTATCGTTCATTCGGTAAAGATTCAATTGCTTGAGATGAGGTGTGATATGTTCTTGCCTATTTACGTTACTTACATAACGTACGCATGCGTTTTGAACTTTTTGGATTCTGTACGAGTCTGAATTTTTTAAGCAAGGACCATACACAACATCACAATAATCAAATAGGGACAACACAAGGAAATTAACAAGTTTACGTTTGACAGAAAGTGAAAGAATATTTTTATATTTATAAAGACACCGAAGCCGACCATACGCGGATTGTATCAACTTACTTACATGCGGGGTGAAGGTAAGATTTTCGTCCAATATCAGATCAGTTTTTGTGAACGGTTTTAAAGTTTATTACGTTGCTATCAATATTTACATCGGTTAGTGAAGAATTAATTCCCCCAAGCAAATGTTTCTTACCGATTAACATTCCTACAGTTTTAGATGGATTTAGAATAAGAGAGTTGTTACTTGACCATTCGGATATACGATGCAGATCTTCATTAATTAAGGTAGTTGTATTTGAAAACTGCTCTGGATAAAACGAATAATAAATTTGATTATCATCTGCATAACTGTGGTACCGAATCGATGTAATGGATACGGCCGTCGGTTGTCCACACATTTGGTTTACCGTATATTTCACAATACTGTTTATACAACTGATATCGAAGAGCAGTTAAGTCTTCACTGATTAAGAATCCAGTTTTCTTTAATAGTTTCTTGGATGCAAAAATTTCGGCTCGTTTCCGGTAAGAGGCAAACTTAACAATTATCGCTCTTTTAACACCATCTTGCCGTTTCCCAACACGATGCGTTCTCTCAATATCCAATTCTGTGCAAGTGATGTTCAGCTTGTTTTCTAAAAATTGTACGACGAGTTGATCGCAATTCTCGTTCGCAGTTTAGTCAATTACTACCAAAGATTTTTACCAAATCTGTCTTCAAAATTGCACCCATTACATCAGCTTTTGAGAAAAAACGTTCCGTTCACGTGGAATAACAAGTGCGAGGGAGCCTTCAAATTGATCAAAACTGAAATTACCAGTACAAAAGTTTTAATGCCTTTCGACGAAAATTTACCTTTAATTTTGGCTACGGACGCTTCACCGACAGGGTTAGGAGTGGTTCTTTCACACATCTTACCGGATGGCACCGAGAGACCTATAGCTTTCGCTTCAAGATCTCTTAGTAACTCAGAGAAAAATTATAGTCAGATCGACCGCGAAGCAACTGCGATTTATTGGGGAATGAGGAAATTTTTCCATTATTGTTACGGTAGGAAATTTACTTTAATCACGGACAACAAACCTCTTACATCGATTTTACATCCCAATAAAGACCTACCAGCTACGTCAGCGGTGAGACTTTTGCACTATGCCAATTATCTATCCGGATTTAACTACGATATCAAGTACAGGAAAACTGAAGATCATGCTAACGCTGATTTTTTGTCCCGAATGCCCCTGGCAAATACGTGCGATATTGCGGACAGCGCTTCGATTTTCCAGATTAGTCAGCTGGAGTTTCTTCCTGTTACTCGGAAAGAAATACAAAAGGAAACGACGAAATGTCCCGAACTGCGACAACTCATACTAGCTATACAGACGGGAACACCTCTTCCTGAAAATCGTAATATATCCGACTACACCATTCAGGATGGATGTCTTTTCAAGGGAATCCGAGTAGCTATTCCAGCGAAATTAAGGTCCAGGATACAAATCTTTTAATAGTTGTAGATTCGTACACGAAATGGCTCGAGGTGATTCCAACTAGCTCTACCACGTCCGGAGCTACCATTCAGATCTTACGAGAGATGTTTTCACGTTTTGGGTTACCCGTAACTCTAGTCTCGGATAATGGCAGCAACTTCAAGTCCACAGAATTCCGAGAATTTCTCAAAATGAATGGAATTAATCATAAAGTTACCGCGCCATATCACCCAGCGACCAACGGCCAGGCGGAACGCTACGTTCAAACCGTCAAGAAGAGCCTGAGAGCTATGCAAACCGAAGGAGAGAGTTTCAATCTCAACCTTTGCCGATTTCTGATACAATATCGGAAAACACCGAATTCGACCACCGGGGTCAGCCCAGCCGAGCTGATGTTCAAAAGAAACATTCGTACTCGAATTGACCTAGTCAAAAGAGACTTAACTTCAGAAATCGGAGATAAGCAGCTTCCAAAAGAAAAGAGCGAACGAAGGTTCGAAGTCGACGATCAAGTGCAATACCGAACCTATGGCGATCAAGCTCGGAAATGGAAGTATGGAACGATCGCGAATAAAACCGGAGATCTTCACTACGAGGTAATGAACAATGGTCGAACACAACGTCGACATCTCGACCAACTTCTTCCGTACGAGGGAACTATACCTCATGAGCCGAGCGTGGTGGTACCCGAAGTCGAGGAACTTATTCCACCTCCAACAGTACCGGAGGAAATTCCGATCGAACCTATAACTTCGAATCCTCCACCTGAGAGAAGCTCTGAGGGGAAACCTCCGAGTCCGATACCCGTGCGACGATCTACCCGTAAACCGAAACCTCGGAATCGGATGAATTTATAACCTTACGGGGGGAAGGCTGTTATGTTGGTACCAATAGGCGAATGCGGCCCAATACATGTCACCGCAGCAAACGGCTTACCCGGATTGTTTTGGAGCGTATGTACTTAAAATATAATGTAATCCTAATACTATTTTATGTACAGTGTTTTAGTAACGTAATAAAATAAATTCAATATAAGGAACCCGTGCATTACTCGCATACACAAGTTCGATACGACATTTTACGTGTTGAGAACTTAAACCTGTATTTGCGGCTTACGACATTTTGTATCCCTTGAACGTACCTACCGGTAATTATTGTTCCAATTCTGCCTAACTTTAAATTGCGTTTTGATACCAAACAGACGCGTATTCAGAGGGGGGGGCTGAAGGGGCTGCAGCCCCCCCCCCCCGAAAAGTTGCCAATCATCTTAATTTTCTGCCAATAAGGAAAGGATATGCAAGAACGGGAAAAAAAGAGTGGCTATTTAAAAAGACATATTTTAACAGTTTGGGTTACGCTTACCTACCTAATTTTCCGAGAAAAATATAGGAATGCACAAAACGGGCTAATGTCAGGTACCTAAGCTTACTGAACTGTTTTTAGGGTTTTTACTCGCTAGTGTATTATGTTTCCATTTCCATAACAAGCAATCAGCGCACTGCGCAATTGCACTGCACTGTTGTACTGCGGTTTCACATTTCACGCCTTCGCGGTAATCCGTAGTTTGTTTTCGAGTGTTGGTTGAGTTCGTTGTGCGAGACGGTTTAGTTTGCTTTTGATAATAAATGTTTTTTAAGTTTGCGGAATTGTTTACGTGGATGTTTATTTAATATTTATTTGTTATTGTTATTGATTTAACCATTTAACTGAAACTAAGACGTAGAGGTAGACGTATGATACTTTAAATACTTAGTTGTGAAACGTGCGCCATGAAGAGAACGCAGCAGTCGATGCTTAAATTTCTGAAGAAAGCAAGAAAGGAAGACACATGTATCTTACATTCAGATGTGCCGACCCCGACGCAAAGCTCCGATAGTAATGCTAACAATCAAGGAACTGGAACAAGTAACGAGGATCAAACTGATGAAATAAGTGATCAAACGAGTACTGTTACTTCTACACCAATGGACGGAATGGCCGTTGTCGAATCAAAATTAGAAAATTCGAACACTATAGAATCGTCAAGGTCAACTGAACAAATGTTATCCTTTCGAGAGCCGTTAAGATCTCAAGATCCATGCACATTAACGTTACCCGTTGCTAATACTGTCGACATTGGAGAATTGATATCGACATCTAAAAATATGACTAATGAAAATAAAATTTCAGCACTAAGAAACCTGATGTAAATTATAAATTCATCCGCCAGGATTGCGGACGGTTCAATAGAACATTTCAGCTGAAATGGCTTGAACAATTTCAATGGCTGGCTTATTCCAAATTGAAGGATGGTGCCTTTTGCAAATATTGCGTTTTATTTTTTCAATCTGATGGCATAGGAAAGGGGGCCCATGAAGCGGTGGGAAATTTTATTACGAGGCCATATACAAAACTGAAAGACGCATTAGAGAATTTTAGAATCCACGAAAAAACTAACTATCACAAAAGGTCTCTCCTGATGGCAGATAATGTTAAGACCATAGTTAATAAAAAACGAGATAGTATTATTGAGCAAATTGACACTCAAAGAAAGCAAGAAGCGCAGAGTAACAGACTAAAACTAAAATCCATTATACAGACGATTCGATTGTATGGAAGGCAGAACATTTCTCTGAGATGACATAACGATTCAGGTCGCGTAACTTTAGAAGAACCCGAGCACAATGATGGAAATTTTCGAAGTTTAATTAGGTATAGAGCAAACAGTGGTGACCAGATATTAAAAGAACACCTTACAAACAGTAGCGGAAATGCGTTGTATACTAGCTCCGTTATACAAAACGAAATTATTTCAATATTCGGTAACTTAATTCAAGAACATATTGCACAGAAAGTTCGCAAGTCCGGTTTTTTTTCTGTACTGGCTGACGAAACTACTGATGTGGCACAGATCGAGCAGTTTTCAATTTGTGTGAGATACGTGGATGATGATGATAATCAACCCAAATTGAGAGAAGATTTTCTTACCTTTGTGCCCGTCAGTGATGTAACAGGTAACGGATTAGCCACAACTTTACAAAACGAATTAACAGCACTTGGTCTTGATTTAAGTAAAATGCGTGGCCAAGGTTATGATGGTGCTGCTGCTATGCGAGGTGCGTTTAGAGGAGTACAAGCAATAATTAAAGAAACGTATCCAAAAGCACTGTATACGCACTGTGCTTCCCACTCATTAAATTTGTGTCTCTCGGACGCCTCGAAAGTGCAAGACATAAGAAATACTTTTGGTGTGATTTCCGAAATTTGTAATTTCTTTCACGGATCTGCTAAAAGAAGTGAAATACTTAAAAATAAAATAACATTATTAAATCCAAAGACACAAACAACTAAATTAAAAACGCTATGTGAAACACGCTGGGTGCTTCGTCACGAAGCAGTATTACTTTTTAAAGAATTTCTACGTCCCATTGTCTTCGGTTTAGAAGAGATCCAAAATCAGCTTCCTGGTGTTGAAGCTTCACGGAAGGCTAATAGTCTTTTGAATAGTGTATGTCAGTTCAAATTTATAACAAGTCTATTTATCCTAAGCAAATTTCTTGGTATAACGTATAGTTTATCTGAGTACTTACAAAGCAAGCAAATAGATTTGGTATGTGCTATGGAACGTGTAGATGGGGTCAAGGTGCTTCTGGAGAAATTTAGAGAAGATCCAGAAAAATCGTTTGCATCTGTTTACAACGAAGTAAAAGATTTTACGAAACTATTGAACATTGACGAGACGGTTCCCAGAATATGTGGCATTCAAAGATATAGACCGAATATTACCTTTAATACAGCAGAGGAGTATTACCGAAAAACGATATTCATTCCCTATTTGGATGACTTGATATCCTCTTTATGTGAACGTTTTCTAAACCAAAAAGAAAATGTAATATCTCTACAAAATATTCTTCCGCGTAATGCTGTGGGACTAGATTTTAGTGCAGTGAAATCTGTCATAGATTTTTATAGGGATGACCTTAGTGATTTTGATGATGTGATAGAAGGCGAATGGGAACTATGGAAAACCAAATGGTCTTCCATTCCGAAACGGGACTACCCGACTACGGCTATTGATGTGCTAGCGGAATGCGATGAAGGTATTTTTCCAAATATTCGAAAATTGTTAAAAATATTGGCCGTGCTTCCGGTTACTACAGCGACGGCGGAGCGGAGTTTTTCAACACTCATGCTATTAAAAACGTACTTGCGCAGCACGACATCGGGAGGTAGACTCACGGGGCTCGCATTATTAGCAATCCATAGAGATATTGTGATAACCTTAAAACTGATTTTAAAATTCATGCAATTTTAAAGGTCAATTTAAGACAAAGAATGAGTAGGTACCTATTTTGATCTTTCAGGATGGCATACCGAACATTAAAAATTATGGCTCTCGCCGCTGCTATTAATTCTGATAAAAACAACAAGACCCCTGATGGAAATCATGTGAACTTTGAAAATCATGAACACTCAACGTCGAATGAACCACATATTTAACTACTCTACAGCCTGTATCATTAGACTTAGATGTTAACCAGCATGTCATGTTGGATAAGATTCCTGTAATATTTGAAGACATAAATCTTACAGAAGATAATTCGTTACAATACAATGTGATAAGTAACGAAATTATCCTTCATTCAGTTGATGGAGGAAGTAATGAAAAAAATGTTGAGGATAGCCATCAGACTGCGCAGGTAAATGATCATGGTGGAAGTGTGTTGAACTAGGTAAGTCTGGCAATCATTTTCTTTTTGTGTTTCAGGATACTACAAGATGACCACATGAATAGGAAAAATATTAATCTAATAGAAGCGATTGAATATGACGATAAAGAAAAACACGATAGTGAAATTCAAACCGATTATGTGCCAGATGATCAAGACAGTAGCAGTTCAACTGATGCAACGAACAACGAGGAACAATTAATGAAGAGACCTGTTAAAAGAATAAGGAAAAGAAAAAAAGACACATCCACATGGAAGGGACTAATTAATAAGAAACTGAGAATGGAGGGTAAAGAATATAAGTCTATATCTATAAAAGATCAGCAAGGAAATGAAGCGAAGAAGTTTGCTCGAAAATTAGGAGTTGTATGTGAGCGCAAGTCCAGCGCTAGATTTTGTAATAAAATAGATGAACAAGTAAGAATGGAGATATTTGAAAAATTTTGGAAATTGAATTGGGAGGACAAAAAAAGTTATGTCAGGTCCTTTGTAACTTGGTTCCTATACGGACAACCTCACAGAGACAGCTGAGGTACTAAGAGACGCTCACTTTCCTGGAGCCACCACCACGCCTTACCCCAACTGGCCTGAGACAATCCCTTTCACTTCCACGGAGAATGACTGGGCGGTTGCCTGTCAGGTGGTGGACGTGGCGAGGGTGACCTGGGCGGTGAAATCGTTCTCAGCATACAAGTCACCCGGTTTGGACGGCATAATACCTCCTGCAATGGGGACTGGATGTTATTGCTACCTACCTAGTGGGAATATATACAGGCTGTATCGCTTTCAGATACATACCTAAACAATGGAGGGAGATAAAAATTGTTTTTATCCCCAAACCTGGAAAAGGTGATTACTCCACTTCCACACCTAAAGCATATCGTCCAATCAGCTTGATGTCTTTTCTTCTTAAGACACTTGAAAGACTGTGCGATAGATACATAAGGGATACGGCGCTAACTCTAACACGGTTTCCGCTGCATCCTAACCAACACGCATACTGCCCAGGAAGATCTACGGAATCAGCCCTGCACTGCGTTGTAGGGCAGATTGAGAGATCGCTGCACTATAAAGAGTCCGCATTGGGAGTATTCATAGATATAGAAGGGGCTTTCGACAAAACAACCTTCGATTCAATAGAAATGGCT